GAAAGAAAGAACTGGGTTGAGGCTCCAGAGGCCAACGCAGAGCCCCTCAGGGGTAACACTACCATAGTAGACGAGAATAAAGCCCAGAATTGGAGGGTGTTCAGTCAGCACTAAAATCAATTTCTTGGGATCCCAGACTCCTGACTCCCACTTTTGCTTTGGCTTCTAGCCATTTGGGTATTGTTACTACTGGGTTTTGTTTATTGTTGTTATTTCCCATTTATCAAAAAGCAATTTAGTCCTGGCTAAGTAAGGGCTTGTTTTCAAAGGAAATGGCAGAATTAAACTATCTCCTGTCTATCTGCTCAGGCTAACAGAAATGTTATTACCTCCCACAGAAATGTTATTAGTCACCAGGAACAGGTAAAAAGGGCTTGGGTCAAAACCACTCCATTACATGATCAGAGAAACTATCATTTGGTTGGTAAAGCATGTTTCTATGTATTAGTTATCTGTTGCTATGTAACTGATTACCATGAAACTTAGTAACTTAAAACAAGAGTGAACAAAATTTGTCTTTCACAGTTTCTAAGGGCTGGGAGTTCAGGAACAATTTAATTGGGAAGTAGTCTGGGGTCTGTACTGAGGTTGCAGTTGAGATGTTGGTTGGGCCTGTAGTTACCAGCTGAGGCCAAGAGGCCCCTTCCCAAGGTAGGTGATTCCCAAGCCTGGCGAGCTGGTGCTGGTGGCTGATGGGAGGCCTTCTGCTTCCATCCACATGGTCCTCTCCACAGGCTGCTTAAGTGTCCTCAAGACATGATAACTGACTTTTGAATGTTGTGAGAGAATGAAGCTATCCTTTCTGTGACCCTGCCTTGGAAGCCAAGATCGCATCATTTCTGCCCCAGTCAGTTCACTGGAAATGAATCCCTGAAGCTGCTCCAGGGGTGCGGTTGATTAGTACACGGTGCATAGACAGCAGAAACGGATCACTAAGTCTGATCCACGTTTAAGGACCCGAGAATTAAGTTCCGCATTTCAAATGGAGGCATTTTTAAAAAAATACTTTTAGTTGTAGATGAACACAATAATTTTATTTTATTTATTTTTATGTGGTGCTGAGGATCAAACCCAGTACCTCACACATACAAGGCAAGCGTTCCACCACTGAACTACAACCCCAGCCCTCAAATGGAGGCATTTTAAAGAGCATATGAATATATTTAAAAACTACTATAATAATAGCATCTCATATCTGCATATTGGTTTACACTTTAAATAGTGTTATTCCAAAAACAACTTTGTGAGATAGACAGGCCTGCCTTTTTAAAATACCCACATGATAGGCAAAAATACCAAGGCTTGGGAAAATGAGCTGGCTTGCCAAAACTATACAGCTTCTACTCAGTGAATGAGCTCTGACTGACAGCCATGCTTTCTTACTCTTTGTCTAGGGTCCTCTCTGCTCTACCAGATGGGTGTATGTACATAAAAAAACAGATCTCCACTTATGTAATCTTGTACTTGCCATGTTTATGGCACAAAGATATAAGGGGAATGGATAAAATAATGTTTGCAAAAAGCACCAAGAAAAGGAAAATATGAAGTCTGTCATGATTCCTGTAGTTACTTCCTGTACATAGCCTGGGAGGCATCAGAAAGCATCGGGTCACCTGTCATACAGGATACATTCACAGGGAATGGCCTTGGGCCCCAGCAAAGTGTTTTGGCACTTTCCCCTCACTTTTTGAATTCCCTTATGCTACCATAGCCAGCATGAGAGGAGGCCCCAGGAATCCCTGATTCTTCCTTGCTATTCAATTCAGTTCAGCAAATATATGTTGAATGCCCACCGTGTGCTAGCACTGTGCTAGAAACAGAAGAGACAAAGGTGAACAATTCAATTCCTTCCCTCACTGAAGTTACTGTCAAATGAGAGAGGCAGACAAGCTTCCTTTTTCTTTTTTTAAGTCAGTGGTGTTGAATACAAGGTAATTGGGAAACCCATCTAACATCGCAGCAGATTGCATTTGCAGTGTTGGCCATAACAGTATCTCCCATCCCACACTCATGCATACACTATGACTTTAACACCTGCCATTGAAAGTGGGGTCTTTGTTCCCTTTCCCTGAATTTGGTTGGGCCTATGACTATGGAAGTGTTGCTATATGATAGAAAGCCAAGTCATGAAAGGCAATACAACTTCAACCTAGTGTTTGGAGGATGCCCACTCTTGGAAGCTAGGCTCTATCTCAAAAGGAAATCCAAAGTAGCCCAGGGACAGGCCATTTATGGTCATGGTAGCTGACAGCCCAGCTGAGCCAAAGCAGCCATCACCCACCAGCAGATATGTGAGACGTGGGACTCTGAATTACACAAGATCCTCACCTTCAAGTCTTAATCAAGGCTACAAATGAGTGTGCGGATATTTTGGAGCAGAGACAAGCCACCTCCACTGTCTGAACTCCTGACCTATAGTATCTGTGAGTATAAGAAAATTATTGTTTTCTACCACTAGATTTGGGGTAATTTGTTTTGTAGCAATAGTAATTGGAACACCCAGTAATTTGGCTGTCAGAGTGGGCTATCTAGAAGCTGTGATTATAAGTTAGATGTGGAGCCTATAGACACGAGCCAGGCAATGGGAATGGGAAAAGGAATTTTAGGGTTTGGTGGCCTCAAACCCCTCAATGACCTAATCCTCAGTATTTCTGTCACGGAGGCCAGCAGGAGAAAATTTTAATTACTGACTATTTTAGTCAGCTTTTTCACTGCTGTGACTAAAGTACCCGACCAGAACAATTGTAAAAGAGAAAGAGTTTATTTGGGGCTCATGGTTTCAGAGGTCTCAGTCCATAAACAGCCGGTTCCATTCCTCAGGGCTCAAGATTAGGCTGAACATCATGGTGGATGAGTGTGGTGGAGGGAAGCAGCTCACATGATGATCAGAAAGCAGAGAGAGGTCTCCACTTGCCAGATAGAAATATATATTTCCAAAGCCACGACCCCAAAGCCCTACCTCCTCCTGCCACACCCCTTCAGTTACCACTCAAAATTCACTGATTGGGTTAAGGCTCTAGTAACCCAATCATTTATACTCTGAACCTTCTTGCATTGTCTCACATGTGAGCTTTTGGGGGATATCTCACATCCAAACCGTCACATTGACTTTAACATTTCTAAAGAACATTCTATCTGCAAGCTTCAGCATTATTTTGATAAATGTCTTAACAAAACATTCATGGGATAAGTATAATGGTGTTGCTTCATTTTCCTCAGAAATGAAAGATTGCACAATGTACCTAGAGCTAAAGAGAATAGAGTTTTAAAATCTTTCCATCCCACTTGTGCACCTCAAATTCGAGCCCAATCTGTGTCACCAAACCCCTGCTGGGTGTTCATTTAGCAAATATTTTTTTTTAAATATTTATATTTTTTAGTTTTAGGTGGACACAATCTTTATTTTTACGTGGTGCTGAGAATCGAACCCAGTGCCTCATGCATGCTAGGCGAGCGAGCTACAGCTTGAGCCACATCCCCAGTCCCATTTAGCAAATATTTATCAAGTGTGTACTATATACCAGCAGCTACTCTAGCCTTGATATTGAGAGATCTCATTTCTCAGAAAAGGACTGAGGATATCTAATGATTATAACCAAACTCTTGCACTCTACTATATGCCAACGACTTCCAGTAGAGGCTTCTCATGACTCTGTTCAGCCTGGTGATGTTCAGTGGGATTTTATCCCCTGGTCCTTATGCCAACCATCCTACCACATTTGCACTTGGTCTTCAAAGGACCAGAGGAATAACAAGAAGGCCCTATCTAGTCAGGTGTTGAGGGCTGAGCACTTCTAGCATAGATACACTCACTTGACAATGCCCCCAAGATGGAACCAGAAAGTATGGCAGCCCCATAAGACAGCATCATCACAGGTGTCCTAGCTGACACCATTGTCTGCCTGTGAGAAGAGCCACTCTACCTATTTCCATGGGTACCATGGAACTTGCAGCTTTTCAATAATATCACCCCGCCTTTCTGAAGGAAAACTTGAAAGACAACAGGGGCAGCTTCTCCTTATTGCTGTTTGGTTTTTATCTTAATTTCCATTAAAATCCTAGAAAACCATCAACACATTTGCCCTTGGAATTTCAAATAAAGAAAAGATATAGGGAGCAGTAGTGGTAACTCAAAAAGCTGCCAAAGCATCACAAGCCCAGGCTTTCTAGCCAGTGAGCAGATAGATTTTTTTATACTCTCTTCGGGAGTTAGTCTTTTACATATTCATCCATGGAAGAAGAAAGTAACAAACACCTATTACATATCAGGCACTTACTGTAACAGGTGCCAGGGGCAGGATAGAAAACTGCCCTCTTGGAGCACATTCTCTCCTGACTTTCTTCTAAGGGAGCAGCAAATGATAGCGGCAGCCTAGCTAATCCATTCCCCATTTTAAAGGAGAGAAATGCAGAGCAGAGCTCTGTTGATTGGGATTCCTGCAGAGACCAGGCGAGTGGCATCAGTGCCCACAGCAGGCTTGGGGTAAGACTTCAGGTTGTGATGATGAACCAGAGGGCACCTCCTTCTGGAGGGGCAGCTATTCCTTAGTAGCCCCCGAATCGTCAGCTCTACCCATTTTCCAAGAGAAGCCGGAAATCCTTATTTTTATGTGAAATTTCTCAATATTTAAACACTCTGCAGGCCAAACAAAACACAGCCACCAGTTTTGACCTCTGCTTTATAATAGAGAATGCCTGCTTTTGTTCCGTCAAACTAATGAATGCTCAATTGCGAGAAGGAATTTGGAGGTTAGTGTTAGATTGTGCTCCTCAATAGGCTGCAGACTCCATCCCACACCCTTAAGATACTAATTGACAGACTTGCACAGGCTGACATCTGGGCTCTCAAAGTGGACACACACAAGGAAACAGGCAAGCTATTCCAGGTCACTTTGCAAGGTCAGGGCAGCAATGCAAACATTAGAAAGGTTGAAGACGAAGGTCAGGTGGCAGCAAGGGAGCCCTACAGTGCCTTGAGCTGTTGGTTAATAAATCATATTCGAAAGGTATCAGCGGCCTGCCTCTCCCTGGCATTGCTTTGTGAGCTGGAAAATTAAATAGAAATCAAAATTAAGATGGCTGTCAGGAGCTTTAGGAGACCAACACGCCAGTGTGAGGCCAACATGGGATGAAGTTTCTCTCTGGAGCAAAGGTCTTCAAAGGGATGATGATATCTGACACTGGGCATCGCAGAGGGCATAGCTACTGCAGTAGTGATGCATGGAGCTGTGGAGCCTGCCTGTCCACGTTCAGTGCCTGACAGGCAACTTTGAGCAAGTCCCTTCCCTTCATTCTTTGAGCATGAAGTACTTCATCTCTAAACTGGGGATAACAGTACCTGCCCCCAGAGGGTATTGTGAGGCTTAGTACAGGTGAAGCACTTAGAACTCTGCCTAGAAGATGGGACTTTATTAGTGGTACAGTACTGGTATTAGTGTTGCTGGGAAATGTGGGTTTTTCTTCAGTAGCTCCCTGGAGCCTTCTTCAGAGTCACAGAGCCATTACATCTGTAGACATTAGATTGTAGCCATCTCCACAGATATCATACTTGCTGAATCCCAGCTTTGCCTATCAGATTCTGCAGGGGAATCTAGGCAACAGGAACCTTCTGTAGCTGCAGTTTCACAGTCACCTTATGGAGCAGCAGAAAAATGCTGAGTGGGTTCCCTCCTACAGGCGATGTCATCCTACAGGGGGATTGCACCTGGAGGGCCCTCACCCTCAAGGTGATGCCCTCTCCCAACAGAGTAAGTCAGCAGTCCCCTGGGCTTCTCACCTTTCTTTGCTATTGCCCCATCTTCAGACCATGTACCTGAAGATGAATTTCAGCTTACCAAGAAAGGTGAGCGCCTCCCACATCTTTTTCTCGGAAGAATTCATGCCCTTTGGGTGGGTTATGCATAGTTCTCTTCAGTGTTAACAAAAAGCAGTCTTCCTGTAAATTTTGTAGAATCATAAGAGTACACATTTTTGTGCTTAAGGAAACCACTGTGCCCATACTGTTTCTGCAGCTATAGGAATGGCTTACTAGACTGAAATGTTGGCAGAAACAAAAAGAAGCCCTGTTTCTTCCCACCTGCAATCATAGTTTTACTAGCTTGTAAAGCACACGCAGAATTTGCAGTACATTCTTCTCTTGCAGTAGGGGAGAGGCCCTGCTGTGAATGTAATTGGCTTTCTAGCTTCCTTTAACATTGAGGTGGAGGGAGCTGGACTGAAGGGCCTTTACTCTTAGAATTAACCCATGTTGAATTGTGTTTAAATTCCATGCATCTCCCTGAATGGATGTGTTCCATTAAGTCTTAGAAGTGGCTTATCTCAGAATATATCCCCATCTGTATCAATTTTCATCACTTTGTTGAAACTAAGTTTCTTTTTCTTCTCCCTTTCTCTCTGTCCCTCACTTTCTCCCTCCCTCCCTCCTTCTCTCTCTCCCTCTCTCATCTCTCAATCTCTAATGGATTTTTAACTTAATCTTAAAAGGGATTATTTTGAACCATGGTAACCCCTGTTAAAGATATATGGCATCTTCACATGACAATGTCATATAGTACATCCCATTTGAACCACGTTTTTCCTCTGACTTTGGCTTTGTAGGATGTCTGTTCCTCAGAAAAGGACCACAGGCATAATCTAGATGGAAACTGTCTTACTTTATCTCTAAGATCCTGAGTTTCCTCTTGTATGAAGTCAAAATATTGGATTAAGCAATCTTTACAGCCCCTTCCAGCTTTAGGGCCCTGGTTCCATGATTCTATGATCCATGAGAAGCAATTAAAATGCAGAAGCTCCTTGTGTCTCTATTTCCTGGGGCTTCCCAGGCAGTATGCTTAGTGGAGCCAGTGCAGCCAGAAACCTGGAATCAGCTGGATCTCTGAATATGGGCTTAGTACCTTCAGTTCTAAGCGACAAACAGAAAGATTTCTGTTTGACAAAGGTCAGCTGTTCTAACTTCTTGTCATTAAGTAGAAGTTTTAAGCGTTTTCACAAATATGATCTGAAGAAGAGCTTACAAAAACAAGTTAAATATACAAGCATTGCTTGATTATGAGAACAGATTCTAAGAAATACATTGTTAAGCAATTATGTCATTTTATGAACATACTATGTACTTACACAAACCTAGATGATACGGGTCAATCACTTGACATGGCCTCTAGCTACAATCAAGAGATAGGGTAAACCCAAAATGTGTAAGACTGCTGCCAATTTAACATGGCAGGCTGTTTTACTGTAAACCTTTTATAAAAGTTAAACAAGTAAACGCTAATGATAAAAAATGTAGACAGTATAATAAATACACAAACCAGTAATATAGTTGCTTACTATCATTATCAAATATTGTATACTGTACATAATATATTATACATGCTATAGTCTTGCATAATTTAACAACATTGTTTTGTGAAATGTGCTAGTATACCATTTTGTCATCATGCACACCAGGCTGGATAGCTTAGCACTAGGAGGTATAATCTTATGAGACCACTGTCATATATGTGGCCTGTTGATGACTGAAATATCCATGTGGGACCTGACCATACTGATTTTACCTATTCCTTAAAGACAAATTGTCTTCTTGGTACCTCACAGTTCAGTAGCAGTTAAACTAATATCTAGCCCACAAAAGTTAGCTAATAAAAATTTTAAAATGGCAGATAACATGCTATTTCCTTCAGAAAAAGTAGACCCAGTCAGGTTAGTGTTCTACTAACAGCAGAGAACCCAGTACAGTCGGCATGCAAGAGGTGGAACTGTTTAGGAACTTGTGGTTTCAGGCACATTGAGGCAATGAAGCTTTGTAAGAGAAGGTTTAGAGTAAAATTTGTGTTTCAGGGGAAGGAGATGTTGGAAGGATTCCTGGCTGGAGTAGAGGTCAAGGGTGCAGAGAGAAAGTAGGCGAGGCAGTCATGGGTAATAAAACTACTGATTTGAGTTTCACCTTTTTCTCTCTTCTTTGCTTACTGCCTGCTGGGGACAGGGACTGATCATGTGGAAGACAGGCAGGAGGAGCTAGAAAAACCGTGATCCTAGCCTGTCTATTCTATCCCTGAGTCGTAAAGGCACAGGCACACTGAAGACAAGTGACCTACTCATTCCACTCTCCTTTTACAGCAGTTAGCGAAGAGGGGAGAAGGAGGAACAGTTGGAAAACCCAGGACCCAGGGAGAAAACAGTGTGTTCTTTACCAAGTCACATAATATCTCTGGTGCTTAAAATCTTTGTCTGTAAAGTGAGAAGGTTATTCTAAGTAATTGGATTAATAATTGCTCCCCATTATTATGTGCCCAAGAAATGTTACATACTTTTATTATTGAGTGCTGACTCTAGGCCAGACCTGTTCTAAATCTATGTGGATTATCTCACTTAACCCTCACAATAGCCCTTCAAGATAGGGACTATTATTATCTACATTTTACCAATGAGATTAACTTGCCCAAAATGACACTGCCCAAAATGGAGGAGCTGGGAGTTAAACCCCTCTGTCCTGTTCTAGTACACACCTTGTTTGGGGTTTTTTGGTTGTGTTGATTTGTTTGTTGTCAATTTTGTGTGAAGTATTTCAGGCTTATCAAAATATGAAGAAGAACAAATACTACTAGCTGCATGATTGCCTTGGCAGGTGAAGTCCCCTCACTGGAGAAATGAGCAGTTGCTCATGGGACTGCTTCCTTTCAGCACTATTATTCTCTCTTTGTAGAGACAAACTGCTACCAACAACTGCTAGCAGCAAAGCAAAGCCCTCACCAAGCCAAAGCTCCACCAAGCCTTTCCCTGGGTGAAAGGAGGGAATAATAGGGCAAAAAAAGGGAAGAGACACAGGCAAATGCACCCATCACTAGCCACAGAATGCCAGCACTATGAATGGCAGATAACTCAGTGCCCAGAGAGACCCAGTGTAGACACTATGATCTTAACAATCAGTCCCAGTTTCCTGCCAGGATCCCTCTTAATAGCCATAACCACTAAAATTACTTACCTATCATTTTAACCAGTGCCATTTTGGTCAAAATATTTTCATTGTGTCCATATTAATGACCTGTAGTCATCAAAAACAACAAGATTCTAGAATAAAGAAAAGGGATAGTTCATAGAATATACTTTAGTTCAAAAGGGAAAGCAGGCTAATTACATGTAGATTTATAATTCTACTAATTTGCTTTTTGGTTTTGTTTTTCAAAAATTGGGGGTTGAGAGCTGGGGTTATGGCTCAGTGGTAGAGCACTTGCATAGCATGTGTGAGACACTGGGTTCAATTCTCAGCACCACATATAAATAAATGAATAAAATAAGGGTTTATCAACCCATCTAAAAAATGTTTTAAAAAAATTGGGGGATATACCTCAGTTGAGAGTGTTTGCCTTGCATGCAAAAGGACCTGAGTTCAATCCCCAGCACCACAAAAAAAAAAAAAAAAAAAATTGAGAGGTTGGTGCATTCTGTATTTATAACTATGACTGACTTGTATCAATGTCCTCCACCCCCACCGCCCATGTACATTCATAACTGTGATTAATTTTAATCCTTTCCCCTTCCATTGGTTAGAGTCAGCATATATACTTATCAAAGATGATTCTTTGCTGCTTAGGATTCCATATGTCTGGAGTTTTGCTAGCATCCCTCCCGCAGAATGTGGTTAGAACACCCAACTCTTCTAGAATTGCTGTCAGCCTCAAGGTTCCATTCTGGAAGGAGAGTGAGTAAAATTTCTGTTGCAGCTGATGTTTTAGGTGTGTATATAATTTAGCAAATTGTTGACCACTCAGCTCTTATTCAGTGGTCACAAAAGGAATTAGCAACCCTCCCCTGCTACCCCAAAACCCAAAGAAGGAAGGGTGTTACTTGGCTTTGGCCCAGAGGCCCCTAATACATAGAGTCAAACAGCAGCACAATGGTACATTTTGGCCACAAAAAGGCTTTGGGGTGGCAAAAAGGGCCAAAATAGTTGTGGCATAAGTTGGCCAGGATATTAAGCAAATCCAAGTTTAATTTCATATAGAGATAACAACTCTTTTTTGTTTTGTTTTGTTTTTTGTTTTTCAACTCGCTGCTGCTGCTGTCTCTGTCTCCAAGGGGTCAAAGATTTCAGCTAGGAGTTAATCCATGGGGGCATTCAAGTTCCAAGTGATACATGGAGTGGTCTTTACATAGGCTTCCACATTTGCCTAGGCAAAATGGAATAAGAATGAAAAGGCACAGGGATAGCTGAGGGAAGCTGAAAATGGATCTTGAGGTTTGAATTCCTTCTATGAGTTTGCTTAAGCCACATTGCCTGAGCTTAGAATAGAGAGGCAGGCAGTCTGTCTCCTTGGGATAAGGAAGGATTTGGAACTCAGCGACTGTGAGGTCTTGGCCCCTACTGTGTTTTCTGGTTTGTTTTGTTAGCAGGAGCAAGTTATTCTCGTTTCTTGCTTCTGGGTTTTTCTTCAGCACACTTTAAGTGCTGAGCCTCCACCCGACTGATGGCAATGGTTGGATGGAATGGGATAATGAAGGGGTGGAGAGAGAAGTTGATTCAGCTGCTTAGGATGAGGGAGGCAAAAGTGCCTCAGTCCTTGGAGCTGTCTTCTGAATCCATGGAGAGAAGGGGGATCATGGGGCTGAAGTCATCTCGATCTAGGAGAGAAGCTAAGTCCTCAATAGTTAGAGAAGCTAAGGACTCAATAGTTAGAAGAACCAGCTTGCGGTCGAAACTGAAATTCTATTATCCATGAAATGTTTAGCAGTGGAGGAGAAGCTATAGTATTTAGAAAAGTAGTCAGTGCAGCATAACAAATGAAAAATGACTATGATATATATATACCTAAAAAGGGTTAAAATGGTGAATTATGTTGGGTATATTTTCCTCTATATAAACAGAAATACCATCCCCTTTAAAATAAATGGTTATGAGCACCTCAGGAAAGTCCCAGTAATCCTTGACCCATGGACTCTTTTTACAACCTTTTTTACAACCTGAGAATTGGTGAAGTGTTCATTAACTATGCACAATGATGCAGTGAGTTCAAAATATGTGTAAGACAAGGCACACGTGCTAGGTGGTTGTGTGCTGAAAAAATCCTCTGGAGTGAGAAGAGAGAAACACATTTAGAAGGAAACCATCAGCCCTTCATAGCCAGAATCCAGAGGGACCCACCCATCAGGGTGTCCTCAGGTCCCAGCTGAGAACACATGGAGGTGAGACTTTGATTCTTGCCAAGTCTCTGTTTTACCCTCCCAAAATAAAATGTCTTCTGAGGTACTTGGTTCTTAAAAGGCTTGCAAGAGCCTTTCAAAATAGTCTATAATTGAGAAGATTCTATCTTGGATGCAAGTCTTTATCTTTTCCATCCTGGAAAAGAACAATGCCTTTACCTAGAACAATACCTGGGTGAGAGGAAGTGCCCAGAAAATAAGGAATGGATGAACTTGTCAGTTATAGAAAGAGGAAGATGGGGAGAATGAACTCATCAGGGGTTCATTCCTTTCAGCCACATTATGGTATAAGTGAATATTTGTGAACCAAAGACCTCACTAACATTTATCATTTGCTTTTTCTTTAGGATTGGTCCTGAGTTCAAGTAAACAGTTGGCTTTCAAGTAAATCTTTTAATAATTCTGGCATATGGGGTAGCTTCTGCTTGCTGTCTGAATGGCAGTTTGGCATAATAGTTGAAGGCATAGAATCTGGAGCCAGCTGACTGAATCTCAGTTGTGTCCCCTTACTTCTGGCTGAGCAAGAGACTTGAATATATTATGCCTCAGTTTCCTTCTCTACAGAGTAAGGATAACTGACAATCTTACCTTACAAGGTTGTAAGTTTAGATGAAGTATAAATTTGTAAAGTGCTTAGAAGAATTCTTAGCACAGATGCATGCTCTTGTGTGCTGTTAGAGAAAGCCCCTCTCTATAGTAGTAACAAGATTCATCCAACTAATAAAACTGTCACAAGGTTTTAGCATGCCCCCATGACCAAGACTCTTTCTTTCCCTGTGGTTTTTATTCTGATCAGTAGCTAAAGCTATCCATGAATAACAAGAACACCTTAACTGACATTAGAAACTGTCTGAAATATTATAAAGGGGATTCCCTGTATGGACAATTTCATATCTTAGTTTTACTGCTACTACCAATCTTTTCTAATTTAGGTTTCCTCAATTTCTATATCTCTGACATGGATAATAATTTACCTCACATGACTGATAAGGAAGCTAATAAAATAAATATTGAGATTTTATTGAAGGTTGTTAGTAAGTAATTAAGTGTAATAAAAATGCTTTTTCAAATGGCCCAGCAGAAATCACCAGTGCTGGCTGACATTTTAAAAAGTATAATGAAACTAATAGTAGATTTGCTTTGGTCCTCATACCCTTTACAGCAATATTAGCAAGCTAAGTGATTATGGCCCAATAGGGGAAAAAAAAAAAAAGACAGTATGAAACCATCATGTTACAAAGCTAAAAATGAGAATAGAGGTGGGTGAGGTAAAAGCCCTAGCAACATTGCATTCTTAAATGTTGGCCTTTTCTATTGCCAGGGCTTACAGTATGCTCTTTAGTAATAATGACATTCTATGCACATGTGAATATATATATGTAAATATACATGTATTGTCATGTATTTAAGGAAATTGTCTTCTTTCCAAAATTTGAAAATTCTTGGTAACTCCAGTTTATTTTTTAACACACATCCTCAGCTGATTGTAACTGCAACCTTGTGAGGCATGGGGATTCTGTGTAATTAATATTGCTTGTATTAATTCTATCACCTTGTGATAAAATTATAAGGACTATAGCAAATTTGCAATTCTTAAAAAATGAGTGAGAAGATAGTACAATGAAAAGACATTATTAGTATATGTATATATGTGACCAATATGATTCTGCAACATGTACACTCAGAAAAATGAGAAATTATATCCCATCTATGTATGTCAAAGTGCATAAATACATTCTACTGTCATGAATAACTAATTAAAACAAATGAAAAATTATTTTTTAAAATGAGCGAGAAATAAAGAAGAAAAAATAATAACCCGTGAATGGGACAAGGCTGGGGGTGGCCAGAGGAAGGCAGTTCTGCTGGGGAAGGGCTTCAGAATAGGGAGAAGAGAGAACCAACTGCCTCAAGACATGTTATTTTTCCTGTGGCTTCTTGCTTCGTTCCACCCCCAACTCTTCCAGTCTGAGCTCTGAGTACCGTTGAATTTTCACCACAGAACTTGGCTAGGCCTCCTAAGGGACTTTCTTTTTCCCATCTTTCCATAAATTATAGGTTTGCACATGAGAACAGAACAGATGATTCCCATTATGTTTGGGGTTGGGTTAGGAGTGTGTGTGTGTGTGTGTGTGTGTGTGTGTGTGTGTGTGTGTAAAAAGAACCTCCTGCCCACTCTTAAGTGCATATCCTAGTTCAGGGAAGTGGAGCTTTTGTTAACACCCACAAATTGCTCACCCCTACCTTTCGAAGGGTGGTTTTAACCTGGTTTCCTTGACCGGTGTTGACTGCAGGCATTTAAATAAGAAGTCATGACTCTGTGACAACAGGGCCTTGTGGGTTGTTCACCAAATCCCCAGTACTTGGAATAGTCCTTGGCATACTGAAAGCTTCTCATGAATGTATGTGGTGATTTGTCTAATTTTAATAGCAAAGTGACATTTCTAGGATACTTTTACTTTCATAAATGACCCAGTCAGATCATTATAAAGGAATTAGATAGATCTCAAAAAATTAATTCATCCGAGAACATAGGGGTTATTGAGTGTAGAACTCACCAAAGGTAGAGCCACTACTAATAGTTAAGTGTAGGGAGTTCCAATCCAGGGCAATCTTTTTGCTTAGGAACCTAGACCAGGTGCAAGCATAGTAATGGATGGGGGAAGGAGTGTACTGCACTGTATCTGAGCTTATTCTGCTCTTTTTTTGGTATCCTGAAGTACTTACATCAAGCCATCTCAAAGAACAAGTCCTAGGAAAACTGTGCAAAGGAAAATGAAGAGATGTGGACTCTAAGGTAAAGGGAATAGAATGTAATTTACTTCAGTATCTGGAACATTTTATTGCTTATAGACAAGTAGGAGTAGAGTGAAGAAATTATAAGAAAAAAGTATACCTCTGATAGTACCAAAGGAAGAAGAGGGATAGGAAAAAACAGATAACATTTATAAAGAATGGTCAAGCACAGTGGTGCATGCCTCTAATGTCAGCAGCTCTGGAGGCTGAGGTAGGAAGATTGCTAGTTCAAAGCCAGCCACAGCAACTTAGCAAGGCCCTAAGCAACTCTGAGAGACCCTGTCTCTAAACAAAATATAAAAAGGTGCCCAGGGTGTGGCTCAGTGGTTTAGCGCCCCTGGGTCCAATCCCCAGTATGAAAGAAAGAAGGAAGGGAGGGAGGGAGGGAGGGAGGGAGGAAAGAAGGAAAGAAGAGTTAATGTTTGATATACAATTCAATAAAAAAGTTGAGGAACCTGCCTGAAAAGCAGAGCAAGCAAGGATGATAATTTCACTTACTCAGAGAAGCCTAGCAATGAAGAGGTCAGTGAATAAAAAAGAGCCAAGCTTCAGATGGTGGCTCATAACAGTAAAAAGGAAAAGTTGAAGTCAGTGCTCAGGTTGAGAAGCTGGAGGAAGAATTAACCAGTTAGCTGTGTGAGGAAGGCACATGCCTATAACTCTGGCCACTCAGGAGTCTGAGGCAGGAGGATCG